GTAGCAAAGGGGATAATTCAGAAGTAGAAGGGGTGCCTCCATGAATAAAAGAGGTAGCAAAGGGGATAATTCAGAAGTAGAAGGGGTGCCTCCATATATAGAAGAGAGGTAGCAAAGGGGATAATTCAGAAGTAAAGGGGTGCCTCCATATATAGAAGAGAGGTAGCAAAGAAGATATTCCAAAAGAAGGAGTGCATCCATACGAATAAGAGAAGTAGCTGACGTCTGTTATAGGGGATACGAAAATATACCTGACCGACATGTATTCAAGGAGACAAAAAAAAAACCTTCAAATTTTCTACCCTGAAACAAGAGGGTTTGTTTTTACCTTGGGGTTCGTAGCTTTTCTTAGGTTTGGTGAAAGTTTTAGCGACGTAACATATCCCCTAAATGAAAAATGTTACAGTTATAACCATAACACAAGTAACGTTTCGTGTGTAACTAGCACAATCATTTTCAAAATCTCATATCAAAACTCGTTCAATAAAGAAAAATAGCATAACAAAACAAAACAAAACAACAACAAAAAAACAACTACCGAATGGGAATCTGGAAGTATAAGTGAAAACGTCATCATGCTTGACGCTTATATTGTGAGCCCTGATTGGTAAAAAACCGATTGACAAATTAATTGCTTGATGATGATGATGATGATGATGATGATGATAATGAAAAACTTTATTTGACACAGAAATCCTTCAGTAATGACTGATTTACAAAGATGCTGTGTATAATAAGAACTATAGTAAAAAATAATATAAATAAATAAATAAAGTATGCCATAAAGTATAACCATGCATCACGTATAATRTACTTTTGAATGACTTGTTAAGATTGGATTATGCCCATTGTATAATAGCATACTGACGAATTACGCGTTCCGATTGGTTTGTATTCATAGTATAATCGCATTCTAACGAATCACGCGTTCTGATTGGTCAATAAGGTTAAGGATGGTATAATATAAGAAGATGCTGACTTACCTATCATCGCCGATTATCAGTATTGGATGAACAGGATTGAAGGATAGATGGGTCAGTTTAGACTTCTTTTTCGCCACAACTACAAGTATAATAGTATAATGTTTAGTCACGTGAGTGTTTATCTCGATGTGATTGGTCAGAATGCTGCAGTTTCCTCACACACCTGACTGTTCACAGAGTGGTTCGTACTTGTTTGTACTCAGGTCGTAAACGTGAACCTAAAAACAAAGTACTTCTCGGTTAGTAAAGGTTCGACAACCCTTGCACAGTAAATTCTCTATTAAGCTGCCCGCAAAACCTATCACGTTGAATTCGTTAGTAAGCCATGCCCTGACATAGATCAGCCCAGAGGTTGTTTCAGGGTTCAATCTGTGAGTTAGCCATGCCCTGACATAGATCAGCCCAGAGGTTGTTTCAGGGTT